AGTGACACGAGCGAAACCAGCTGGTCCACCAGATTGGCATCCAGCGGCAGCCACAAAGTTGGTAACACCGACCAGCTTGTTGCCGTCGTGTGTGACCAATGGGCCACCGGAGTCACCACTGCAAGTACCCTTGCCATCGACAACGCGCACACAGATAATCTTATCCTGGATCAGACCCGTTCCATAGTAGTTTGCACACTCGGAGTTATGAATAATCTGCAGGTCGGCGCACTGAAGATAGTCGGGCAGTGGGCTGCCATCGTAGGTGCCACCCCAGCCGCAAGCGACGGCCCAGCGTTCATTGTAGTCGTTGTAGCGATCGTTGTAGCTGGGCAGCTCCACCTTGTTGACCATGTTCCAGAAGTCCACATGGGGAATGCGGATCAGAGCGATGTCAGAGTCGTGATGGTTGATGAAGTCGTTGCGGCTGACCCAGTGTGTGAACTGGGCGTCGGTGCGCCAGGTGGCACCGAAGTAGACGGTCACGGACTCAGCGCTGCCAGAGCAGTGCTCGGCAGTCAGAACCCAGGTGTTGCCAATGATAGAACCACCGCACCACCAGCCACCGCCGTTGCTACTGAAGCCCAGGCCAACCGTGTAGGGAGCCTTACCCTCGTACGCGGGATAGCCGTTAGTGATGCGTCCCTCGATTTTCGAGGATTTGGCCAGGTCCTTGGGATAGGCAATACCCGCCGAAGGGGCCGCTGAGGCGGCGGCAACAGCCAAAACTAAAATTGTTAAGAACACCTTCATGTCGCTTGCACAACTTGGGCTATGCCTTAAAGTTTGTCGATTTTATAGCCAAACTGTGCTGCACTCAATAATCTTTAAATATGAGTGATTTATTTTTATTATCTTTACAGCACACAAGTGGAATCGTAAATATTTTGTTTTAACGGATAGAGGAAGAATCAGTGATAATGCCAAGAGTCTCTTAAGATTTGCAAATATGTTCATGTTTTATATATATAATATTTTAAAATAATGATCAACAAATCAATAACAATTATATAACTAGTTTTAAATGTGCGTAAATATGTATGCTTGTATATGTCTATGTTCGTCTTTATGTCAAGCGCAGACCAAGTTTACTTTACTGCTTTTGATTATGTTGCAAATTGAAATTGAAATTGAATAGCGCTTTACTATGCGATTCTCATGAATTCACATAAGGCGTGCAAGCGTGCATGACTTGCTAATAATTGTGATATTATCAAGTTGTGTGTCATTTATTTCACTTTATTTTGGATTTTCACATATGAATGGATGTATTTATGTATGTACATATGCATGGATGTATTTATGTATGGCATCCAGTGTACATATGTATGTATGCAATAGTGCATGTATGTATGCAATAAAGCATGCATATATGCAATAATGCATGCATGCATACAAGAACGCATGCATGTACGCATGCATGTACGCATGTATGTATGCATGTATGTATGCATGTACGTATGCATGTATGTATGCGTGCATGTATGCGTGTATGCATGTATGCACGTATGCATGTATGTATATATGTGTGCATGTATGTATATATGTGTGTATGTATGTATGTGTGTCCGAATGTATGTATGCATGTATCTACTATACTTCTTTTTTTTTACTTTAATCCATCTTCCTCTTATTTATAGAGGGCACGTGAACGATTTTTGCTTGTATATGTGATTCTTGGTGCAAATATTCAGATTACTGTCTTAAAATCCCCACCTGCTTTCAGATTTTATAACAGAGTATTGAATTTGAATTGTATTGCGAAGTTCGAGCAAACCAAATGCCATTTTTCAATTTTGTATTGCTTAGCCAAATAATCCATAAAAATTTGTTAAATACCCCTTAATACGGTTAATTTAGAAAAGCATAAACCATTCTTAAATAGGTGTAATGACTTTTCGTTATAAAAGAGCAATCGAAAAACCATATTTACTGCATATTAATAAAATAATACTTCTGAAAAAAGGAGTAGCTTTTTCATAATTCTTTTTATTTTCAATTAAATTCAGAGCTGATCGTTTAGTAGTAGGCAATGCCCGTTATGTCGCGAATCCAGTCCAAGTGGTAGGTGACACGCTGGAAGCCAGATGGATGTCCAGATTGGCAACCGGCAGAAGAAACCCAGTTGGTAACACCAATAAGTTTCTTGCCTTCGTGGATAACCAAGGGGCCGCCAGAATCTCCACTGCATGTCGATTTGCCTTCAGGAGTGCGTACGCAAACAATGTTGTCCCCCACAACGCTAGAGCCGTAAGTCTGCTGGCACTCGTGGTTGGGCATCACCTGCAGATCGACGCACTGCATCCAGTCGGGCAAGCCGCTGTTATCATATGTACGTCCCCAGCCGCAGGCAAAGGACCACCAACCATTAAAGTCGTTGTAGCGCTCGTTATAGCTGGGCAGCTCAATCTTATTGACCAAATCCCAGAAGTCCACATGAGGAATACGGATCAAAGCAATATCGGCGGCATGGTGATTGATGATATCGTTGCGGCCAACCCAGTGGGTAAATATGGAGTTGGTGCGCCACGTGGCACCGAAGTGAACGCCCACGGCCTCTGCGCTGCTGGTGCAGTGCTCGGCAGTCAGGACCCAGGTGTGTCCAATAATGGAGCCACCGCACCAGGTGGTACCACCGGGAATGTTAATGCTCAGGCCAACAGTGTAAGGTGCTTGGCCCTCATATGCTGGATTTCCGTTGGTAATACGACCCCCGATCTTGTTAGGTTTGGGCAGATCCTTGGGATGCACTACAGTTTCGCTAGGTGCTGCCGTGGCGGCAGCAATCGCTAAAGCCAAACAAGCTACGAACAGTTTCATGTCTCAAACACTTCTTGATTTGCGAATATATTTTCAACGAGCTTTTATAATCCAGAGCATTGATTACACTCACATGTTCAAGTATTTAGGTATTTGTAAATTGAATTGCCTTATAAATATTCTCGGACAGTTCTATATATAAATGCATCGAAGATAACGAAATACCGAGCCTAAGCTCTTCAGAGGGGTTTATGATTAAGTTATTAAATTGGAATTATTTTGGGAATGATTATGCGAAACAATTTGTAAGGTGGAAACAAATCCGCTTGACCAAAGAAAACGAAAAGGTTGAATTGAAAAGTTAAATAACTAGATGCAACGCTAGAGTACAAACACAAATGAAAGGAATAAATGCGATTCAACTGCTGGAATGGATAACTGGAACAAGTAAATAGTATAAAATGGCGAAAAGCATAAACGAAATAAATATGAAGAAGAAATAGAGACATGAACAATTAAAACGTGGAATGGTTAGGCGAAGTGACTAGGTAAAATGAATAGATGGAATAAATAAATATTTGGAACGCAAAGTGGAATGAATTGGTTAAGCCTCAGATGAAACACGGAAGACCCGTCAGGCATTTTCAATAGTAGGTCAGTACAATCCCGCCATCAAAACAATAATAGCCCCCCGTCGAGTTTATGAATTAACCCAAAAGCGTAAACAAGCATTTATATTTAGTATCAATTATATCGCTTCTACAGTGAAATATTTATTGTGAATGAAACCTTTTATGAATATGAACTTTAGTAAAGGAAGCAACAGTATAGAAATCTGATAAGGGTAACTTTTATAGAATTGTATATTAAAATATATTAAACAGCGTATTTTAATCTTTGCCTGTGGAGCTCAAGGAATATTTATGAGCTATAAGTCAATTCTATAGCGACAACACATGTATAAAAGAGGGGTTTGGAACCTATGGAACTACAAGTAGTACCTACAACATGAAGGTGTTTCTAACAATTCTCGCTTTGGCTGTTGCCTCCGCCTCGGCATTCGAGTCGGTCGTCCATCCTAAGGACATTCCCAAGGTCAACAAGATCGAAGGCCGTATCACCAATGGCTACCCAGCCCCTGAGGGCAAGGCCCCCTATACCGTTGGACTAGGCTTCAGCGGCGGCTGGTGGTGCGGTGGTTCCATTATTGGAAACACCTGGGTCCTGACTGCCGAGCACTGCACGGGCTCTGACGTCACCGTCTACTTCGGTGCCACCTGGCGCACCAACGCCCAGTTCACCCACTGGGTCAGCGGCAGTAACATCATCAACCACAATAGCGCTGACATCGCTCTGATCCGCATTCCCCATGTGGACTTCTGGCACATGGTCAACAAGGTGGAGCTACCCAGCTACAACGAACGCTACAACGACTACAACAATAACTGGGCCGTTGCTTGCGGCTGGGGTGGTACCTACGATGGCAGCCCACTGCCCGACTATCTTCAGTGCGTCGACCTGCAGATCATGGGTAACTCCGAGTGCCAGCAGACTTACGGCTCTGGAACTGTTACTGACAACATCCTCTGTGTTAGAACTCCCGACGGTAAATCCACCTGCGGTGGTGACTCCGGTGGTCCATTGGTTTCACACGACGGCAACAAACTGGTGGGTGTTACCAACTGGGTTTCTTCTGCCGGTTGCCAATCTGGACACCCATCTGGCTTCCAGCGTGTCACCTACCACTTGGACTGGATTCGTGACCACACTGGCATTTCTTACTAATAAGCTATGGCTTCCAAAATGACCCAAATAAAGCATACATATATAAAATGAATACATTATACTCGTTTGTCTTCTTTGACGACCATTTTAAACCCTGGGGAGAGGTAATTTCCGAAACCCTTAGTGTTCACTTACGTAAGAAAACATAACGGAACGTAACTAGTTTCAGCTTCCTGCTAAGACTCGTTGATCAGCAGTTACTCAGTTAGCCGTTGAGTCAATCAGACAGAGTGTCACTGAGATGTTTCAGTGTACTTTATAAAAAGTTTTTAAAGATGTAGACACAACATAATAGGAATTAAGGAAATTTTTTAAATCAAAGTATTCTTCATGGAATATAAGTGAAGCACTAATCAGGAGCACTGGCTTACAACTATTTTGATCCCAAGAACCATAAAACTTTGTCCTTATACATTTAAAAATCTGTTCTGGTTCCTTAAGAAACGATTATCAAATGCATTCAAATCAATTTTATTTTATGATTAATTTTAAATCTATTAGTAAGCGATGCCAGTGTGGTCACGGATCCAGTCCAAGTGGTAGGTGACACGCTGGAAGCCAGCTGGAGCACCAGATGTGCACGAGGAAGTGCCAAAGTTGGTAACGCCCACCAATTTGTTGCCGTCGTGTGTAACCAATGGACCACCGGAGTCACCACCGCAGGTGGACTTGCCGCCGGGAGTTCTTACACAGAGGATGTTGTCTCCAACAACGGAAGAGCCGTAGGTCCTCTGGCATTCGGAGTTGTGCATGATCTGCAGGTCGACGCACTGCAGCCAGTCGGGCAGTGGGCTGCCATCGTAGGTACCACCCCAGCCGCAAGCAACGGCCCAGCGTTCATTGAAGTCGTTGTAGCGATCGTTGTAGCTGGGCAGCTCCACCTTGTTGACCATGTGCCAGAAGTCCACATGGGGAATACGGATCAGAGCGATATCAGCGTTGTGGTGGTTAATGATGTTATTACGGCTGACCCAGTGGGTGAACTGGGCGTTAGTGCGCCAGGTGGCACCGAAGTAGACGGTGACGTCAGAGCCCGTGCAGTGCTCGGCAGTCAGGACCCAGGTGTTTCCAATGATGGAACCACCGCACCACCAGCCACCGCTGAAGCCCAGGCCAACGGTATAGGGGGCCTTGCCCTCAGTAGCTGGGTAGCCATTGGTGATACGGCTAGACATGTCCTTCATATGGACAGCTTTCTGCGTGGCGGCTGGCACCGCAGCTCCAGTGGCGGAGGCAACAGCCAAAGCCAAAATTGTAATGAACACCTTCATATTGCAGGAACGACTTGAGCCTCGAAGAACCCTTCTGTTGCTTTTATACGAAAATCAAGCACAAACTCTATTCGCCATTATCTTAATTTGAGTGGTTCATAAATTCAATATATAATCCGATCATAAAAAATGAGTTTTACAAGCCGATAACGTGTCACGATTTATGCAAAGTCTTTTGAATTTATGCGCATTTGATGATAATATGAATACTTCCTATTTATAACTGCAGCCAATCACTAGAGCCAATCACTAGAGAGGCCAACTTTTTAGGAGGGATCTGTTTTGTGGCTTTCACATTTTACACTGGGAGTAATCCCATCCCAATAAATATTCCATTTAAATACGAGATGAACAATTCATTTATTTTGAATGCAGTTCATAGAAAACCTTAATAGTAAGCAATGCCAGAGTTATCGCTGATCCAATCCAACTGATTGGTGACACGATTGAAGCCAGCTGGAAGACCAGCTGTGCAACCATTACCAGCAACCCACGACGTAACACCAACCAATCTGCCGCCGTTATGGAGGACCAATGGACCACCAGAGTCACCGCTGCAGGTGGACTTGCCGCCGGGTGTGGCAACGCACAGAATACCATCGGGCTGGTGGCCATAGGTCTGAGAGCACTGGTTGTTGCTGATGATCGGCAGGTCGACGCACTGCAACCAGTCGGGTTGAGAACCGCCATCGGAGGTAATGCCCCAGCCGCAGGTAACAGCCCAGGATGCCCAACAAAATATAAATTTGCTGTCCGTGTGAAATCGTCAATCAATATTTCAAGAGGGCACTCAAAAGCTTTTATTTCTTCTAGGAATATTTGGTGATAACACATGTTTTGATATCGGTCGTTCATAACACGGTCAGAAGGCCAGACAGATGGATATATATAGATTGACTCGACTGTTGATGATGACCAAGAATATATATACATTTTGGGGTCACCATGCTACGAAACCGATTTTGGGCTTGGAACCGCCGATCTTCTACTTGTTAGTCCCACGCTCTGCTTTGATATCACGTTGGCTAAGTACAAATTTATGGTATACATTGGTTGACCATCATTATCGAACTGCCTGCAGGTCAAAGCGACTTGCACTTTCGTCCGAACTTAAGACTTTCAGCTTCGTAGCTCTTACGACTTGGGCTGTGCGTCTTACCAATCAGTTAGTCAGGACAATCTCTTTAACATACATATACAGAATGACGACGAACTATCTTTGAGCGTTTTATGGAACTCAAGGAATATTTATGAGCCCTTCGACAGCAAGATAAGCCAAATCGCAACTCTATCGAAACAGCACAAGTATAAAAGAGGGGTTTGGAACCTATGGAACTACAAGTAGTACCTACAACATGAAGGTGTTTCTAACAATTCTCGCTTTGGCTGTTGCCTCCGCCTCGGCATTCGAGTCGGTCGTCCATCCTAAGGACATTCCCAAGGTCAACAAGATCGAAGGCCGTATCACCAATGGCTACCCAGCCCCTGAGGGCAAGGCCCCCTATACCGTTGGACTAGGCTTCAGCGGCGGCTGGTGGTGCGGTGGTTCCATTATTGGAAACACCTGGGTCCTGACTGCCGAGCACTGCACGGGCTCTGACGTCACCGTCTACTTCGGTGCCACCTGGCGCACCAACGCCCAGTTCACCCACTGGGTCAGCGGCAGTAACATCATCAACCACAATAGCGCTGACATCGCTCTGATCCGCATTCCCCATGTGGACTTCTGGAACATGGTCAACAAGGTGGAGCTACCCAGCTACAACGAACGCTACAACGACTACAACAATAACTGGGCCGTTGCTTGCGGCTGGGGTGGTACCTACGATGGCAGCCCACTGCCCGACTATCTTCAGTGCGTCGACCTGCAGATCATGGGTAACTCCGAGTGCCAGCAGACTTACGGCTCTGGAACTGTTACTGACAACATCCTCTGTGTTAGAACTCCCGACGGTAAATCCACCTGCGGTGGTGACTCCGGTGGTCCATTGGTTTCACACGACGGCAACAAACTGGTGGGTGTTACCAACTGGGTTTCTTCTGCCGGTTGCCAATCTGGACACCCATCTGGCTTCCAGCGTGTCACCTACCACTTGGACTGGATTCGTGACCACACTGGCATTTCTTACTAATAAGCTATGGCTTCCAAAATGACCCAAATAAAGCATACATATATAAAATGAATACATTATACTCGTTTGTCTTCTTTGACGACCATTTTAAACCCTGGGGAGAGGTAATTTCCAAAACCCTTAGTGTTCACTTACGTAAGAAAACATAACGGAACGTAACTAGTTTCAGCTTCCTGCTAAGACTCGTTGATCAGCAGTTACTCAGTTAGCCGTTGAGTCAATCAGACAGAGTGTCACTGAGATGTTTCAGTGTACTTTATAAAAAGTTTTTAAAGATGTAGACACAACATAATAGGAATTAAGGAAATTTTTTAAATCAAAGTATTCTTCATGGAATATAAGTGAAGCACTAATCAGGAGCACTGGCTTACAACTGTTTTGATCCCAAGAACCATAAAACTTTGTCCTTATACATTTAAAAATCTGTTCTGGTTTCTTAAGAAACGATTATCAAATGCATTCAAATCAATTTTATTTTATGATTAATTTTAAATCTATTAGTAAGCGATGCCAGTGTGGTCACGGATCCAGTCCAAGTGGTAGGTGACACGCTGGAAGCCAGCTGGAGCACCAGATGTGCACGAGGAAGTGCCAAAGTTGGTAACGCCCACCAATTTGTTGCCGTCGTGTGTAACCAATGGACCACCGGAGTCACCACCGCAGGTGGACTTGCCGCCAGGAGTTCTTACACAGAGAATGTTGTCTCCTACAACGGAAGAGCCGTAGGTCCTCTGGCATTCGGAGTTGTGCATGATCTGCAGGTCGACGCACTGCAGCCAGTCGGGCAGTGGGCTGCCATCGTAGGTACCACCCCAGCCGCAAGCAACGGCCCAGCGTTCATTGAAGTCGTTGTAGCGATCGTTGTAGCTGGGCAGCTCCACCTTGTTGACCATGTGCCAGAAGTCCACATGGGGAATACGGATCAGAGCGATATCAGCGTTGTGGTGGTTGATGATGTTATTACGGCTGACCCAGTGGGTGAACTGGGCGTTAGTGCGCCAGGTGGCACCGAAGTAGACGGTGACGTCAGAGCCCGTGCAGTGCTCGGCAGTCAGGACCCAGGTGTTTCCAATGATGGAACCACCGCACCACCAGCCACCGCTGAAGCCCAGGCCAACGGTATAGGGGGCCTTGCCCTCAGTAGCTGGGTAGCCATTGGTGATACGGCTAGACATGTCCTTCATATGGACAGCTTTCTGCGTGGCGGCAGGCACCGCAGCTCCAGTGGCGGAGGCAACAGCCAAAGCCAAAATTGTAATGAACACCTTCATATTGCAGGAACGACTTGAGCCTCGAAGAACCCTTCTGTTGCTTTTATACGAAAATCAAGCACAAACTCTATTCGCCATTATCTTAATTTGAGTGGTTCATAAATTCAATATATAATCCGATCATAAAAAATGAGTTTTACAAGCCGATAACGTGTCACGATTTATGCAAAGTCTTTTGAATTTATGCGCATTTGATGATAATATGAATACTTCCTATTTATAACGGCAGGAATCACTAGAGAGGCCAAGTTTTTAGGAGGGATCTGTTTTGTGGCTTTCACATTTTACACTGGGAGTAATCCCATCCCAATAAATATTCCATTTAAATACGAGATGAACAATTCATTTATTTTGAATGCAGTTCATAGAAAACCTTAATAGTAAGCAACGACAGAGTTGTCGCGGATCCAATCCAACTGATTGGTGACACGATTGAAGCCAGCTGGAAGACCAGCTGTGCAACCATTACCAGCAACCCACGACGTAACACCAACCAATCTGCCGCCGTTATGGAGGACCAATGGACCACCAGAGTCACCGCTGCAGGTGGACTTGCCGCAGGTCGACGCACTGCAACCAGTCGGGTTGAGAACCGCCATCGGAGGTAATGCCCCAGCCGCAGGTAACAGCCCAGGATGCCCAACAAAATATAAATTTGCTGTCCGTGTGAAATCGTCAATCAATATTTCAAGAGGGCACTCAAAAGCTTTTATTTCTTCTAGGAATATTTGGTGATAACACATGTTTTGATATCGGTCGTTCATAGCACGGTCAGAAGGCCAGACAGATGGATATATATAGATTGACTCGACTGTTGATGATGACCAAGAATATATATACATTTTGGGGTCACCATGCTACGAAACCGATTTTGGGCTTGGAACCGCCGATCTTCTACTTGTTAGTCCCACGCTCTGCTTTGATATCACGTTGGCTAAGTACAAATTTATGGTATACATTGGTTGACCATCATTATCGAACTGCCTGCAGGTCAAAGCGACTTGCACTTTCGTCCGAACTTAAGACTTTCAGCTTCGTAGCTCTTACGACTTGGGCTGTGCGTCTTACCAATCAGTTAGTCAGGACAATCTCTTTAACATACATATACAGAATGACGACGAACTATCTTTGAGCGTTTTATGGAACTCAAGGAATATTTATGAGCCCTTCGACAGCAAGATAAGCCAAATCGCAATTCTATCGAAACAGCACAAGTATAAAAGAGGGGTTTGGAACCTATGGAACTACAAGTAGTACCTACAACATGAAGGTGTTTCTAACAATTCTCGCTTTGGCTGTTGCCTCCGCCTCGGCATTCGAGTCGGTCGTCCATCCTAAGGACATTCCCAAGGTCAACAAGATCGAAGGCCGTATCACCAATGGCTACCCAGCCCCTGAGGGCAAGGCCCCCTATACCGTTGGACTAGGCTTCAGCGGCGGCTGGTGGTGCGGTGGTTCCATTATTGGAAACACCTGGGTCCTGACTGCCGAGCACTGCACGGGCTCTGACGTCACCGTCTACTTCGGTGCCACCTGGCGCACCAACGCCCAGTTCACCCACTGGGTCAGCGGCAGTAACATCATCAACCACAATAGCGCTGACATCGCTCTGATCCGCATTCCCCA